ATTGGATAAACATATGGATGATAATGGAATAGTTTAGGTTAGATGGGTTTCAGATTGGTTTTCACAGGTCGGCACAACATCGAGGGCCGAAGGGCCTGTACTGCGCTGTAATGTTCTATGTTCTATGTTCTATGAAAATGGTTATGATGGTTAACTAATGCTCAGACAACAAGCAGGGTGGATGTGGTGGCAGAGTGTTGTTTAAACATTTTGAGGTCAGATATGTTGATGATCATCATTAGGAGGATGATTGAAAATGGACGCCATATGCTAAAACCTCCGGTAGTAAGTCCTATCAGGGTACGCCCCACCCTCCCCGAGCTCCATTATAAGTCAGATCCCAGTAAAGCTCCTTAGCTGATGATGCTAACCAGTCAATGCTTTTTTTTCCTCTGGTCCTGCCTACACCCTGGGTGCACACGATCCAGTTATTGTGCTGCAGAGATCCACCAGACGACATCAAACGTAAATAAATCTCACCTGAGTGCCAGATACAAGCAGGGTCAATGATTTTTGACTACCCCCTCCCTCACCCCAAATATTTGGCCAAAACAATACCTTTTGTTTGAGGTTAGATAATACCTGATCCATTCAAAATCATCCTCTCTGACGATCTTCTTGGCAATGAGCTCACTCAGCACGTCACGACAATGCACATTGATGGTCAGTAGAGTCTCAAGCACTGTTTCCTGGAAAGCCCGCAGTGATGTAGACATGAGCTCTGCCAATGCATCCAGCCTATTCATCAATACCAGACGGGCATCCTGCAGTTGGTTGTGTGGCTTGGGTCCATTGAAACACTTCTTACATTTCCAATTGAACATTATCTGACTCTGCACCAACAAACACAAAGAACGGCTATACTCAAACTAGGAAGATCTTCATATTTCTTGTGTTAAATGCAAAATTAAATACCCCAAATGAAATTAGTGACCCTGGGGACTTTAGAATTGGTCCTTTGTGTGACTGTCTGGAGGGGTAGTGGAAGCAGGTGTTCAAAAGCAACCCGGTGAATACTCAAAAAGAAAAACTTTGCAGGGATACAGGGAAAGAACATGGAATAGGATTACCTGGATAAAAGTTGTTTCCGCGGCACAATGGATAGAGGTAATGGAGGTTTTACCTGCTCACTGGAGAGGCAGTGAAAGCCCCTGTGCCTCTTCCAGAGAAGGCCCCTTGAACCAAATGTCAATCAGGCAATAACCAGGGCACCAGAGGCCTGGAATCAAGACCCAGAAGTGCCAAACACTGGAATTTGGTGAACAGTCAGAGGCTGGCATTGATTGGACTCAGCAGTATCCCAGAAAAGGCTGCTGGAAGAGGATCCTGAAGTCCTGGAATTGCTGAGGAGCCAGGATAAAGGTAAGTGATACAAAAACAAAGTTGATGGAAAAGCTCAGCAGGTCTGGCAGCAACTGTGAAGGAGAAAACAGAGTTAATGTTTCGGGTCTGGTGAC